TTGTTGTTGTTGTTTTTATATTCCACTTATGAGTGAAATCATATGGTATTTGACTTTCTCCATCTGACTTATTTCACTTAGCATAATACCCTTCAGGTCCATCCATGTTGTTGCAAATGGCAATATGTCATCTTTTTTATGGCTGAGTAGTATTCCGTTGTATATACGTACCACGTCTTCTTTATCCATTCATCCATTGATGGGCACTTAGGTTGTTTCCAAGTCTTGACTATTGTGAATAATGCTGCCATGAACATAGGGGTGCAAATATCTTTTCAAATTAGTATGTTTGTGTTCTTTGGATAAACACCCAGAAGTGGAATAGCTAGATCATATGGTAGTTCTATTCTCAATTTTTGAGGAATCTCCATACTGTTTTCTGAAATACACCAGTTTATATTCCCACCAGCAGTATATGAGGGTTCCCTTTTCTCCACATCCTCTCCAACATTTGTTATTTCTTGTCTTATTAATTATAGCCATTCTGATGGGTATGAGGTGATATCTCATTGTGTGTGGTTTTGATTTGTGTTTCCCTAACAGTTAGAGACGTTGAACATCTTTTCATGTGCCTGTTGACCACCTGTATATCTTCTTTGGAAAAATGTCTGTTCAGATCCTTTGCCACTTTTTAATTGGGTTGTTTGGTTTTTTTCTTGTTGAGCCAGCTTCTGTCTCCTAGCCTAGTCCCTGCCAGGTCAGGGTCAACCAGCACAGTCTGTACCTACTGCCTTCCCTCTTCCTTTCTTGTCCCTAACACATGCCCTGGTCCCATTTTAGTTCCTCCCAAAGAGGCGAGAGAAAGCCTCTCTTAGTAGTTACCTCCCCTTGGCCATCTACATCCCTCTCCCTGTCTCTCCTTATCTGACGCCCAGGGCAGCAGCAACAGCAGCCATGGCCGCCCCCAGGGCCCTGTCCCCTCCATTTTATCCCACTCCCTGGATCTGATGTGTGCCAGCCATCCTAGGACCTCTTCCAGTTGCTGGAGGATGTTGCCCCACATGAGTGTTTTCTATCTTCTCTGAATAGTTTAGCTGTTATTTCGCGATTTGAGAAACCCTGAGGGGAATGTGATGAGAGGGAGCAGCTCAGGAAAATGCAGAAGAAGAAGGAGAAAAAAGATATCACTGCCCATGTGACATCTTCCTTCCTGCTTCCATTAGGTCACAGCCCTATTGGGCAACGCTCAATAGCTCCCCATTCTCTACCACAGCAAGCCTAGACCCCCCCATGTCTGATGACCCACTTCTGCTCCATTCACTTCCTCATGTCATCAAGACATTCTCCTCACTGGCCACTGACCACTACATCCCACAACCCCTCCTGCCGTTCTCCCTGTCTGGAATGAAACTGTGCATCCAAATTTGGCTTCCCCATCAAGGTCTGGTTCAAACCTTCCTGATGACACGCCTTCTCTAGTCTTCTTCCACACCATGATTCTCAAGGATGGGCATGCGGCTGAATCACTCAGGAATCCTGGCAAACATGCACACGCCTGGGCTTCACCCCCAGAGCTTCTGACTTAGTAAGTCTGGGGAGGGCCCAGGAATCAGCGTTTTAACAAGCGGCCCAGGTGAGTCTGAGGCAAGTCGTCCAAATAGACGATGCCCATAAAAGCTCCGAATGAGGTCAGATGGTCCCTGAGGCATCCCTCCGGTAGGCTGCCTGTGTATGAGGGGTGTGTTCCCTTGAGCGTCCAGTCCAGGCCCAGGCATGGAGACCACAATTACAACAGTAAGGGGAATAAGCACCATGGATTGAAGTCCGACTGTGTGCCAGGTGCTTCACCCGGGTTCTCTCATTTAATTCTATCAGCTTTGGGAGGTTGTAATGGATGTTTGTCATCTTTTGGCTCTCCAGCACCCAATACCTATTCCATGCCCCAATGTGCAGGTCTCACTAGGATGCAGAGCTCTACCTTCCCTTCTGTGGAGTATGGAGGCAGACATTTCCTTCCCCTTCTCCCTGGCATCTATGGTACAGGCATGTGACCTGACCTAAGCTTGGCCAAATGCCTGATTCTGCCCAGGACTCTAGATCCCTCCATCTTGGCACAAGATGCAGGGCCCGTTGGAGATGACGTACACAGAGGCAACTGAAGCATTGAGAGTCCAGGAATAGCATCGTGGCAAGTGCTTGGTGGCTTCAAGGGTGCAGGGGCAGTGGCATCAACAGCAACATCATGAGACTGTCTCATGCTGTAACCTCTGCTGTGGCCTCTGCTGTCCATTTTTTCTTGGTTTCTGCCATTTTCTAAACCTGGTCCTCCAGCCTTCTCATCAACTCTCGGAGCTGCTGATATCCTTCTAAATTCCTTGGCTATGTAAGACAGCCAGAATTGGATTCAGTTGTTGGCATCAAGAATCATGACTGGCAATGGTTATTATGCCCTTCGAGGCAACGAGGACCGTCTGCAGGCTGAGGCCCAGAGAGATTAACTGAGTCACTCAAGATCACACATATTTCAAGAATGTTGCAGAGCTGGGATTCAAACCCGGGTGTTGTTTAATGCCAATTACACAGGCATTAAATTAGCTACACAACACTATTGTATCAGTCAAGGTCTCAGCAAGAAGCGAGTGGCTCACTGAAACTGGGCAATTGAGAAATGTTTAATAAAAGTGTGCATAGAATTTGGAGAAACCAGAAAGGATGCTGCAGTGCTCTGAGGCTGGTGACAGTGGTGAGTCATCACCACCTCTAGACCTAAAGGGGCGAGGGGATGGGACAGGTGCCCGAACTTGGCGATAGTAGTTGTTTGGTGAGGGGCTAGAAGGAAAGAAGCCATTCATGCCACTCCACAGAGGGAGCTAGAGGATGAAAAGCCTGACCTCTGTCTCTTCCCGTCCTCTGTCTTGTTTCATGCTGCCCACTGACTAAACCCAAGCAGAAGCTGGTGGGCAAGGAAACCTGTTCATTTAGCCCACACTGGTCAGGTTCCCAGGCTCAGAGCAGGGAGGAAAAGGATGGAGAATGGGCCTGCAGGTGCAAACAGGTGAGCATCCAGCACAACCATGTGTCTTCCAATTTAGTGTGTATAATTTCACAGGCAAGTTTAATATATTGGCCTTAAATACTACTTAATCTATAATTAAATTAAGCCCACAAGCACGCGTAATCATGCAGTTGGTTATCTCAGGAAGAATATACAAATGTGCTGTGCTGCTTAGTAAGGAGCATGATGACTTCTGGGAACCCTGTCTTCCAAAGGAATCTCGAGAAGCACTGAGAGAGAGCCACAGGCTATGATTCAGTAGGTCTGGAGGGGCCCCAGGAATCTGCATTTTAAACAAGCGCTCCAGGAGAATCTGATGCAGTTGGTCTAAGGACTACAGCTTGAGAAACACTGCCCTAAAGCGTTCTGCCTCTGCTGGACAGCATTTAACAAAGGTGCCTCCCTTGCCCTCACCTTTTTGTTAACTTGACAAACCGGGGCAATGTTGAAACTGCTAAAATGCAGGTCCCAGACCAGCAACTTCAGAAAGCAAACACTGCATGCCATGCAGTCACTGCCTCTGAGCTGCTCGGTTCTCTTAGGCAGGAAAACAGATGCACTGGATGAACAGCTTCTGCATCAAGTGCTTCTCAGAAGACTCTCACCAGAGTCCTGGGAAGACATGAATTCCCTTCACACATCTTCTAATGGATTCAAAATTGGAGGATCATAGATAATCTCTCTGGGGTCAGTGCCATCCTCCTGGAGGGTTCAGACAGAGCAATTCTCAGGTTGATGAGGAAGGCCTTGTATGATGGCAGTGGGCTCAGAGTGGGCAACTGTACCTTAGCACTTGGGGGACTTTTTTTCACAGGAGTGGGGGAAAGTTGTGCTAACTGTAGAAATATGTTCTCCCAACACGAGATAGATTGTGTGTAGTAAGGTGTGTCTGCTTTCGGGGAATTTAGGATGAAATTGGCCTTGGCCATTGCTGAATTGGAATGGAAGGACTCATCATCTTTTCCCCACTAATGGGACTCCTTCCCCTTTAGAGCCAAAAGAGGTAGGAAATTGGAAAGTCCTGATTTAAATCTGCTGGACTTTGCAAGACACAGGTAGGCCTGGACACCTATTTCGTGGGTGAGCATGGGAGCCACAGGAGAGTTGTGGGGCAGACTGAGAGAAGAGGAGGGCAGAGTGGGGAACGAGGAGTACACATAGGGGACAGCCTCCAGAAACCTAAATGGTGAGCTCTTGTCATTCCACCATCCCTGCCCCCTGTGTGATACAAAGAAACGAGGCACTTAGAGGAATTATAGGCAGAACTCCTGGTTGTTCTATTCTTTATGTCTTCGATGTGCTTAGTCTTCAGTAAAGGAACTCTTTGGATTTTGTTCCTGCCAGTAAGTGGCGCCTTCTAATCATGTGACCTCATTCTAGTCACATACTTCTCTGCCTTTATGGGGTTGTCCTAAGGACCAGTGATAAAATGCACCCCTGATAATGTACACAATGGACAAATGATATTCTCTATCCATCCTATCCTTTGGATCCTAGCTCATCCTCACAGTATTTTCCCAGCATACAACATTATGGTTAACTTTGTTTCTCTTTCTCAAATATGGAATTCTCACCAAGGTGTCACGTCTTCTCCTCAGTCCATGGTTTTCAATACCCTTTTCTGGGAGTGTTGGAAAGGGCCACAGGTGAAGGGAGAATCCTAAGCGTCTGATTCGAGAGGAAAGGAAGGCCTCAGTGGCCAGGAGAACAGTATGCCTCTGGAGTGGGAGCTCTGTCCAGGTCAGGCCAAAATGTTATGGTCCAGGGAAAGAACCAGGACAGACTTAGCAGCTGTGCCTCTGTGCCTCATGACCCCCACAAAGCAGCGACAGCAAAAAGCATCGGACTCTCTCTTTATTTAACGCAAATCCTAAGCCGCTGGTGGGACAGAGGGCCAGCGCATGTTTGGGGCTGTATCTTCTCTTCTGAGGGGGCGAAGCACACACCAAGGTTATCAGTGAAATGACAGGAGTCGGCAGATCCAGGAGGTGGGATCCTGAGCCTTAGAAATAACCTGTGTTAATAATCCTGTCATTGCCCCCTCCTTCCCTTCCCCCTCACGTTCTTCTTCTGGCACAACTGCCAGATGGACGTGGATGGACGTCAGAGGTCATTCTCACAGGTCTGTGGGCCTAGGGTTCAAATGACTTCTGCGTGACAGCAAACAGGACAGTGAAGACCAGGCTCTTGCTCAGGAGTCCGCACACCACAGGGACGACAATGCTGAACACAAAGGTCCTGGGGGAGAGAGGAGATGTAATGGGCCGCTGGCCATAGCGCTCCCTCACAATTGAGTTTTACTCTACAAAAGTCCGTTAGGCCACTTATCTTATCTGCTTAGATCCTTCCAGCACCTTCCCCATACTGACTGGCCCTGGGCATTTTAGTTTGTCCCATTGCCCAAAACTACTCATTAGAAATATGTTTAGTCGAGAGCAGAGGGTCCACGTCCAGAAGAGGCCTCGGGGAGAAAGGGCAGGCTGACGACGCTCCTCTTCCTCCACGGTGACGAGTAGAGGTCATGAGTACAGGGGTCCCAGAGCCGGGAAACCTGGTTTCTACGCTCAGCATCGTGACCTACTTCCCGGGAGAGTCATCTCACCTCTTTGGCCTCAGTTTCCACATCTAACTAAGAAGGATCTAATTCTCGTCAAAATCCCGTCATGAATTATTATAGATTTTAGCGAAATGATTCTAAAAGTCCTGGGTAAATGGCAGTAAGAAAGGGATAGAAGTGAGTGAGGAAGCTTGGCCTGCCCAGACTCAGGAGAAATGGAATAGGTGATTGCACAACTAATCTGTATGATGAGACACCGGAGCGAAAAGAGAAACAGGCAGCAGTGAAACATACAGAAGTTCAGATTTAGAGCTAAAGTTACATAAGAATTTAACACCTGAGGAAATCAGCAAAGATTGTTTAGTAAATAGTCTTGTGGCACCTGGGTAGCAATATGAAGAAAAAAATCATCTTTTCCACAATTTTACCATACAGCAAAATAACTCCTCTCCCCAAGATGGACGAAAGATTTGGATAAAATGAAAAAAAAGAGAGCGAGAGAGAGAAAAGTCACCAGGAAATAGAATCAAGCACACGTAAGGAACAAAGCGAAGCAGTAATTTTAAAATCAACACATTTGCCTACACAAAACTTAACCGCACAGGCACACACTAGCAAAGGGACAAAGGACATAAGTGGGATAGAAAGCGGCAGGCGGCCTGTTAGCACTGAAATCCACCCCCGGCCTCCAGCGCTGTCCTGTTTCACCCGGACTAGGTGTCGGAGGCGGCCTGGTCGAGTTCAGCCTCCAGTGGCTCTGTTGGGGGACGGGGCCAGGGGCCCGCAAACCAACGCTCTCGTGCCCCTCGCAGTTGCAACAGCACCCTCCGAGGTGCGGGCGGTGGCCAGGTTCGAGCCCGGCTTTGAGAAGGTCCCAGCTCTGGGATCTGCTAACTCCACCTCCTGCAAGTGCCTCCTGCCAGTGCCCGGCCTTATCCCCTCCCAGTACCTTAATATTTCAAGCACGGAGCTCCTGGGGTCCGCCCACTCTCAAGGGCCAGCAGGCATCCTATTCCCAGGCTTCACACAGGCTGCCAGACCCCTGCAGGGCTGGGAATTCGTGTGCCCCTGGGGCTGGCCCTAAGCAAAGACTGGAGATGCAGGAGTATAAATACTACGGCTCCTGGCCCTGATACAGACAACTCCGAGTGTGACCTGTGAGTCCCCAGAACCCCTACCCCACCCCTCAAGCCCCACAGGACTGAGCCAAAGTTCCTTCTCTGGGATTCTGCTTGGTTGTGACACTCTGCTTGGTTTCCTTCCCTCCCCCATCCCACTTCCCTAATGGTTGAATCTGGGATCACTTCCTAAAACATTCACATGAGACACCCTCCAGCACCCACCCATGCTACTCCACACCCTCCCCCAC